ATTAACGAGGTCTTTAGGACTGTAGTCTTGACAACATGACTAAGGCCACAGCAAGTAAATTTATGGATGACATCCTCCGCAGATTACAAATCTAATACGATAGGGCGAAAAAACAAAACAATTTTCAAATTTTGAGATCGAAAACCTTGTTAAACATGATTTTTTTGATTCAGCGGCAAAATCACATATAAAGGGATAAAATACAACACTCCAACAAAGTAAAAGTAATAGACAAAGCAATAAATCAGAGCTTTGTCTTGTCATTTATCTTCACATTTATCTGCCATGCACCTTCCGGCATGGCAACAGACGTATTTACCCATTTTCGGCATGTAGTCCACTGTCAAAGGGCAACAAAATTTCTTCCCTTTTTTTTTCCAAAATCAGGCGAAAATCAATCCTCGCGCTGTTTATTTGTTTATTTGTTTATTTAAATTTTTCACAAAGTGAAAGGGAGGGCAAAACAGGTGCGAAGCACCTTTGCTAGTTGCCCTCCCACATACAAAAACAACAAGAATGTACATTACACAGTCAACAATCAATAATACAAGTAGGGCACAAAATATCATATAAACATAATCAAGGTAACAACAATGAATGGAAGAGATAACCATATCGGAACGATATCTAGTGAGGTCTTGAGGCAATACAAGAGCTACATCCACACGAAGTGGTCCAGGTACATGGCAGATCAAGACTGTATTGAGTGTTGAATCTGTTGTAGGCTACTTTTGCCAGTTTATGTTTAAATGCTATGATATCAGACTGATGAGCGGCTCGCACACCAGTACCACGGAGGTCAGAACCTAACTTATTCCAGATAGTTACAAGTCTGGGAATGTAGGAGTGACTGAACGCTGACGTCTTAGATCTGACAGGTGTAAGCATGTACGACCTAAGACTCCTCGTGGGTCTGGTAGGAAGTGTGATATATTTCTCTATGATTGCTCTTGATTTGACAAATAACATTATATCACATACCTCACGCCTACATGTAAGTGGCAACAGCCCTGTTGTTGCTAGCCTTTCCTTGTAGGTAAGGTGACTAGCCTGAGGGCCCAGAATGAATATGGTTGCCCGGCGTTGAACCCCTTCAATTAGAGACATAAATTTACGAGAATGTGGCGACCACAATGGGGAGCAATAGTCAAGAATGCTTCTGACCAGTGTGGTGTATAGAGCTTTCTTAACATCAGTATTAGCATTGAAACCAACAGTCCGTTTGATGAAGCCAATCATGGAATTCGTCTTGGCAACCATTTTCACTATGTGGCTGTCCCACTGTAAGTCTGGCTGTACAATAACCCCTAAATCATTCATGCTGTCAACAGACGATACAATGGAATCAAAAACACAATATGTCATCCATAAAAATTACTTTCTGTGGCCAAAGTATAGACTCGATCCCAGCCTTGTGATAAGTATGGACACGGTCACGTTTGATGTCTAAGATTTTTTAACATAGTTTGAAAAATCTAGCTCTCTGCATACCTCAGGCCAGACCTGACAGGGTCCAGGTAACTGAGGACCAAGGTCCAGGTAGTTTATGACGTGAGTTAGCTGATATACGGCTGTAGCTCCCATGATTTAGGACCTGAGCGCCGATACGGTGGACAGGGATCATGTTGCCTAAGGTCCTCCTGTAGCCAACCTGTCAATATTTATAGCGTCTCCCTGACACAGGCACCCGGCCGTATCGGTGAGAGGGCGAATATTTCATGATAGGTTCGTCTAACAGGGCTGATTTGGACATTACTTAAGTTATGGTGCATTCCTGTGATTTTACGTAAAGAGAACTTAATTTGTGTTTTGAATGTTATTATGTATACGTTCAAATTTAAAGGAGCATTGTGTAACATTTTTGCTAAATATTGTGGTTAAAGATATTCGTGTGATTATAATTTACTTCCACTTTTTAACGTATTCGTGCAACTATCTCACATTTCTGACATTTATGGTTGGCGCTAAAGCAGCCTACATGAGGCACACCCAGTTTATGGTGCCACCACAAACTAATAGAATGTAAACAAAAATAGCTGACAGCTTCCAGCTTTTAAATACACTCGTAAGGCTTCATATATTGACACCAACACTTCCTGAATGACACCTACGATTCAACTTACTTTGCAAAAAACGAAATGACCAGAAAATTTACTCTTTGTGTCGTCTTAATGCTACATAATAGAGCTTTAAGAGTAACACAGCGGATACACCCCCTGCAATTGTTGAAAAAGTTTGTCGTTGTTGGCAGACCCACGAGTATATATACACACCCATCCAGCGCGACGTCCGTGTATTATAACGTCCTCAATGCGCACTGCGTTCCATGCACTGATGATGTATTGGAATAATTGAAGACGCAATTAAAGGTGCATCACAACCGAACGGCCTCCCCGACTCTCACTAATCTCCTGCTGCTTTCAATGTAATTCTGTGTGAGAGAGAAGTGATGACTGCGCGCATCTATTTCTGAGGGAGACAATAGAAGCCCTGACCCGGGACTAACCCCCTTTGCTATTAATCACAGCTCCCCTGTTCAGGAGGCGTGAAGGGATGGAGTTTACGACTACTTGGTATTCATTTCATTCTCTTCATCTAAATCTTGCCTAACAGGAGAATAGCGAGCTTACGCCTCCCCCGGGAATTACGTTAGCTATTCTTTCTTCAGTAATATAAACCACTGGTGCGTGTAATTTCCTAGGAGGTGCGGCGGGGACTTAAGATGTATGAATCCTTTCCGTCAGCGTTACCGTCTAAATGATTTCGGTGATCTCCCAAAAAACTATTTGATACAGTCAGTGCCGTGCAGTTGAAATGGTTATATCTATGTATCATAAGCCATTATTGTTATCATTCTGGCACCCTGGTACAGCTAGGTATTTATTGCTAAGTAAAGCATAACTGTATGAATTGCTTGAGTTTTTATGGATTTCTGATTTAATGTTGGTTACATTTTAACATTCTACGTCTAATTTGCTAACAATGGCAATTGTTATTATTAATTGATTAATAGATAAATCAACTAATTAAGTAATTAATAAATTAAGTGTAGCAATATATATATATATTTGCTTTTATTCCATTTAGTCACCTTGCCGCAAAGTAGTCAAGAATTATATTTTGTTTCGACTACTTATTCATTGACTTAAATTAAGCTTGAAACTTTGAAACTTTATTTTCAATACAACATAGCAGACAAAGTCTGAATTGCGTTAGTATTTACACACCATTGAGCTCGTTTTATATTATAATACACAAACTGTGGGTATTTACAGTTTTAAAAGTAAATTCTTAATTTCTATATGAAACAAATTGGCATCTCTTAAAGATTAAAAGATTAATTACCTACCTATGTTAATTCATTGACATAGGTTTATTTTCAATGATAATGCTTAAGATCTGGAGGAAAGACCAAATGTCACTTAAGCTTAATACGTACAAACTTCAAACTTGATATCATTGAGTGAGCAAAAGATAACAAAGACCATGGAGTCAACAAAAGCACCATATTTGTGTCGACCTTCACCAATATGATTTTTCACCATCAGATATTAAATATGATAATTGTTTGGATGACATGCTCTACTTGAGAAATTAACCAAGCTGAAAATTGGTACATATTTACATGTACATAAATATAAATATAAATGTCAACGTAGAGATACCAATCTGGCAGAACTGCTGATTCTGCTAGAGATCCCGATCGGAGTCTCCGTCGACATAGATGGCAATCAGAGTCCATCAATTTAAATTTGATTCTACTTTGAAGACATGTACAGTCAGAACTTTTCAAATTATGATATATGTCATTTTAGATCATTGAATTCAAGTAGAATTCAGGATTTATGATATTATTAGAATTCGAATCGACGTCTCTATCAGAAAAATAAGCAAAATAGGCTTATTTCATTCATAACTTTTCCAGATTGCAATCTTTACCCTCACACACACGCTCATAATCTTTCATGAATTCCACCTGTAGCTGTCTAGCCGGCTTTACGGCTCATGATAACTAATCCAGGTGATTATTTCTTATTTATGACAGGTTTCCTGGCACCAACAGCAATTTCATTTACAGTCAGTTTTTACACCAGTGTAAGATTTACCGCACCTTGAAGCTTACAGAGAGAATTACCCGATGTTCAGCAGTTCCTAGGGTGGGATGAATCGCCGTGGAACGGGAGCAACCTAAGCTACAACCAATCAGCCTTCAGCGGATCATCTGCAGGCGTTTGTACGGTCAACATCCAACCATTAGCTTTTAACGGGGCATGTCGAACTGATTCCCGACAACCCCAAACTCCGCTGGAATTTTAATCACGACTATTACACCTTACGAATACGCCATGTACTTAGTAATCGTTACCACTTTTCCCCAGTCTACTTTTGTATATATATTGCCTGTAAGTCAAAAAGCAGGGGATTTCCATACGGTAATAGCTGCTGGGTGCTGATTTATAAGGCTTGCACGCGATCGGTGTTTGATGTTTCATGGCCAAATCCTTGCGCAGATTAATTGCCACGGCCGTCGCTTGTAAAAGGCGGCCTATAATAAGGTTAGAGTTCTGTTGAAGTAGGGATTCCTTCGGCGAAAATTCATGCATTTTTCATGAAGCTACATGTAGGCAAGGTGATCCCATGGTGTAGCTACACAACTCACCGGGCCTCCGCTAGTGGCAACATCACAGTAATTTTCTCCCCACTTGGTCTATTTCTTATTTCTTGGGGCTCGCGTCTATAATGGAACTGGCGCTCGATTCGGTAATCTGGGAGGATTATTGGTGGAACAGAATGCGTAATGCCGTGTACGCGCTCTGCACTTTGGCGCTGTCATCAGAAACCGATGATAGCGGGGTAAGCCGGCTGCGTCTCCACCGCTCTGTTGTAAACCTTGTTATTTTGGTTATTTTCATGCAGGCTGTTAGTGATGCGCCGCAGCGACTTGCCAACGTGACCCGCTATGGAAGGGGAACTGGTGGACATCAGCGGGCCAGGCTGCAATGAGTCCCGCGGTGCGAAAAGCCGCGTGTAGCTGGAGGCTGCTGGTCGTCTTGGTGCTGCTGGGCGTTGTGGCCTTACAGGTGCTCCTGAATGGGTACGTTCACATCGCCGGGACCGGGCGGCCCCACTGGCCCTACGGCGGCTCCTCACGTCTCATTAGAGAAGGCCTGTCCAGGGACATCGGGAGGCAGTGGGAGACCGCAAGGAGGTTTCTACCGTCCTACGGAAGAACGGTCGTTCCACCACCGGCAACCACACAGACTCTACCCGCGCCAACCAGCCAGACATTCCCCTCGGGGAGTCGTACCGAACCATTGCCGGTAGAAACGGTTCAATGACAGCCGGCAATGACTTAGTAACGATCTTACGCGGTCCATCATCCACACTGCTGAACATTACAAGCATCCTTACCTTGCCAATAAGCAGGGGAGAGCGGAGCGATGACGGGTGGGACAGGATTCTCAACAACACAATTCTCAGGGAAATGTTTGAGTTATCTCATGCGCTGGGCCTGTCCTGTGGAGAGACGGAAACACAACAGTGATGTGATTAAAACGGTTCTAACGTTCCTGCAAGACAAGCGCCCGCGGCTAGCTAACGCCAGTATGGAATTACTGAGACTTAGGCGGCAACACGAAGCCCAAGAGCGGGAGCAACCGAAGGAACTGTGCCCGCTGGTGCCCCCACATTCTCGGTGAGTAGATCTGTAATTAGCATTTTAGGGTGCGGTAACGTTCGACATGTAATGAATATAAAGCCACGTTGAGGCATGCTCAATCTCCATATCAATTTACTGTTCAATACAGAACCACTTACAGTAGGGAGGAGTTAGGAGGAGCGTATGTAACATTAGCACATGGTGCAGTCTTTCTAGAACTCTTTGTTCATAGTAAATTGTAGCATGGGTTGAATATACGGAAGAATATTTCTTTTTAAGTGTACAATGATGCTCTCAACGATGATAACATTAACTCACAGCCTAAAATTTAGAAGTAAAAGAACTAAGAGCACACTACTCGGAATTATCAACCTTATTCTAAAAGCAAACCTACCAAGGTTAACGCGTAGTCATATATACCTATAGAATGATGGGCTTTCATAAAGAGATGGTTTATTTTATTTGCGCATGTGGTGCCTTTTATATGTCCAAATATCGATGAAGCATGGGCGTCATAAACGGGTTTCATCAGGAGGAGGCTTACGGAGTTTTATCAGTACAGTTGATGAAAGGTTAAATCAAATCAGTTCTTTATGGGGCAGTGGTTATCGTCAAAGGACCTGCCATCAACTATGATGTGGTAAAAGTCACCACCAGGACACTGCTTTCTGGGACACTTTGGATTGGGAATCTTGCAGCTCGATGTAGGCATAGAATTGAAATGGCACTTACTTGAAATGGTCTTGTAATTTAGCTTAAAATATCATATTTTCTATTTTATTTAATATCAATTTTCGGTGTCGTTTCACAACAAAGTCCTAAATGACTAACAAATGTTTAAATAATTGCACATTATGGCTGTTATCATACTTATACTCGCTTATCCTCTTCGTCCCTGATGAAATATAATGCTGTGAGTTAAACATAAGCCTGTTGTCCTTGGTACAAATCAATTCTAACGAATGCAGGCGGTAAGGTCGATATAATAGGACATATTGTTGGATGCACTTCATGGTCTAAGTACTAATGTACTAGGAAGGTACCTTGCACCCCCCCCCCAAAAAAACACATCAAGGAATCTTTTTCGTGTTATTGAAGTAGTTCTGCTGCCATAACTATGCAGTATATCTTTTAGATACAATTCGGTGTTTGCAATTCTTTTATTATGTTCAACTTGGTTGAGTTTTGGGGTCACCATGGTCGGTGATATCTGTCATTTTAACTACGATATATGCTATAAAAATGATTAAGCTTAAAGTAGAAAAAAACACATTATTCATAAATGCCCGTAACTATTGACACGAGACCTATCCATTTTCGTAAGGGCACAGCAAGTAAATTTTATGGATGGCATCCTCCGCAGTCTCCAAATCGAATGCGATAGGACGCGAAAAAAAAAACAAGGCGCGCAAAAAAACAAGATTCCTACATTTTCAGTTATTGACTTCATAAACCTTGTTAAACGAGAAATGATACATATATTGTACTAAGTTTACTGCCAACTCTTTGTCACTGAAACAAGTTGAAAAATTAAATGTACATGTTTTTAGTCATTGTACATATGGTTTTGATTCAGTGGGAACATCACACATACACAGCCAACATCACGTATAAAAGAAAGAAAATACATCACTGTATAAAAGTAAAAAAAAAACCAATAAATCATAGCATTGTCTTGTGTCCTCTCTTTATATCTATCTGCAACAGACATCTTTGCCCATTTTCGGCGTGTTGACCACCGTCAGAGGGCAACAAAATTTCCAAAATCAGGCGAAAATTAATGCGCGCGCTGATGTCATCCATAAAAATGACTTGCTGTGGCCTACGTTTGGGTCAAAAGATTTTTTCCCTTTTTTTCGAGTGGGGGTGGATTGGGAGGGTTGCTTGGTATTTACAGACATCAGCTTTTCGTACCTTAACGAGTTGGTCTACTATGGCTGCTAAAAGAGCCATTCTTCCATCTCATATCTTATCACCGCTGCATTACCCCCAGGCCCTGCTCTCTTCAACCAAAATAGGCCAGTTATCGATCTGCCACCGTCTGGCTATCCTATTAACGTAATAAGCGACGTTTAACCTTAGTTTATTACAATCATTACATATCATCGAGTGATGATATCATAGATGAAACAGAAACTGAATGCCTAGCTGTGATTTGCTATCAAAAGATGAAGCAACATGCAATCAATATACTGTATATGTACACTGCTATATATTAGAGGGTTGATTTTACTTCAGAAGCAGTTTATTGTATACAAAATTGCTTTAAACTATAATCATCAAAGTTTTAGTGGACCATGTACTCCTGTTGCACTAGATGATGCCTTTGTATATACATAAGTACAAGACAGACTCGCCGTTAGTTTGGAGTAGACCACAAGGGAACCGAGGGTCGATTGGAAGTTATCGAGCCTAACTTTGACGCCCAGTCGTCTTAATGAGGTGGAAAATTGCCAACATTTCGATCGTTAGTCTTTTCTACTTCAGTATATTTTTCACCCCGCTGTAAGTCCGGAGATTTGTTGAATCTCGTGATTCTGACGAACGGTTCTGGCCGTTAGAACTACGTACATAGAATGCAATCTATAGTTTGTGCGTATAAACCTGCAATTCTCCTGCAGTCTCTTAGTGTCACTGACGAAAGGTAGTGGATGCTACCTGAAGCGTCTGACCGTTTCCAAAATCATATCTAGTTGCTTGAGTAACTGTTTTTTTGCGTATCCTATTACCAGAATGTCTAACCTTCATCGAAGTACATAGGATGCACTCATTCTTTTCTTACATTATCGGTAAGCTGCGCTTGTGGCCATGTAATAAAACATCCCTCACCCCACGACTGTAGCATCATCCTCTGAGGATTGTTATTCTATTATACAGTCATTTTACTGCAAGTTCTATTCCCGCGTGTTTTGGACATCTTTATTGACATTACCGAGCTGCAAACATCAAGGTCCTTATAAATAGCCAGAAATTGACATCTAGGACACTATATATGATATGATTTACAATAATGATATGATGCCATTGTAAACAGCAATAAGGTAAAAGTCAATAGATATTGTGTACAGTTGACGCTGTTATTTACACAACGACTTTATCCCAGGTTTTGCAGTTTTGACTACAAGTCTGCCATATAATATAATCACCAGACAAATTTCACTACATACAAATGAGAAGACGGGACGCTTTGGTCTTTGCAGCCTCGATGGGTCCACCCATTCTATGAAATCTCGTGGGATTTCACGAGAACTGTTCTTTGCTGTGAAACTGACAACAGCACATGTCCCAGCTCCCGTGACGTAATGCTTGTTATTCTAACCACATAATCACTGAAATAACGATTGTGAATGGGATGAACTAAACAGTTGTTTCATACACTTAGATCAAAACTTCATACTGATAAAATAATGCCGCTGCAAACTACAAAATTTCAACATAATACTGTGTAGATTAATAAGCATTTATCAAAATGTAATGTAATGATAGTAATTCTGATGCAATCAACATACTCCCAAAGATAATGACTATTCATATTTAGTATTAATAATCCCATATAGATTGATGTTTAGAAGACTATCTTTCGTACAGAGGCTGTTAATTGAATGTTGCCCGGCTGTTATAACTGACTTGGCCCTGAGCCCGAACAGTTATCACTATCAAAAAGTAGAGAACGCTGTGAGGAGAAGATACCATTAGGTGAAGTGGTCGTGGCCGAGCCAGTTTGTCACATCAGATGGTTTAGACGCAAAACTCTACAATCATACGGACGCGACGCCCTCTGTCTGACATGTACTTAAAACGAATACAAAACAAAACTTTGGAGAAACGATGTGTTCAACGGCGAATAGATAGCTACTACAACGAAATAGAACTAGAATGCATAATGTTTACCTTCGCATATGATCTGCTCTGTTGATTCTTACTCAAACACAATCACATGTAAGGTGACAGGAGTCTAAATCCCTCCTACTATAAAATTGCAACATGATGTAACCCATGGCCAACACCAGTTACCATGGTGAGAGACAGTCTGGTTCAGTCAGGTCAGAGGTCACTGGAGAAGAAGAAGAAGAGGAGACGTAGCAAAAACAATATGTTTTTCTTCGGTAAACATAGATTACATATAATCTGAGGTTGTACCGCATTAGATGAAAATGTTTATTGTCCTTTCCAGCTGAGGGTTGTTGGGTGACGTTTCATTATTGATTCTTATCGGATTTTGTAGGGTGATTAATTGATTATCGATCCTAGATAATCATTGAAGTACCAAACTACGCCAACAGAGAACATAGGGAGGCGATATACAAATCTTAATACCTGACACACCACAACTTTGTTTTTCCAATACATGTGTACCATAGGTATATTTCGAAAATTGACGATGGCACGATCAGCCTCAAAATGCATTTGATTTGAAAAAGAACGATCGACCTGGCATAAACACAAACAGCCAATTTGAGGCAAATAGAGGATATAAAAGCAATTGCACAGTATCACTATGTTGTCATTCTGAACAACACTCTGGAATACAAGGTCGAAACCAGACAATAATTGTGTTTCAGTCGCCATCCCTCTAACGCCCATTATACAATACCGCAAGTCTATTATCCTTAGAACGCGATTAGAAGCCATTGCGGAAGGCAGAGTGATCAGAAATTACACGCACAGTACAAGAAAGAAAATGCCTCCAAGGCCGGTGATTTTTGGCCAAGAAAGGAAATTGCGCGCTGGTGCTGTCATCCTTTTCATTACCGTAATGATAAATGTTGTGCAATAAATGATAGCTGAACGGCTGACCGTGCTGAGTGGGAGAAATAATGGCCCCCGGCTGATGCTAGCTTTATCGTGCAAACAAACTGGTCTTCTGAGGATAGATAATGTACTCTCAATGAAGGAGACCTTTGCGGAAGTATTGTTTTGGGTGGGGTGTCTGTGTTTGTGTTTGTCTGTACAGAATAGGTTGAAAGCACGTGGGTAGGAGAATATTTACAGGCAGAATGATAGGAGGTCGAAATTTGAGGTCCCAGACTCTGTCCAGGAGTAGGAAAGAATTTATATAATAGAGGCCAAAATATGGGGGAATTCAGGAAGCCAATGATCGTATGAGCGATTGCCCCACGACCTCTCTAGATCTCCTAGTCCCAAGTAATGCGCACAATTCAACCTCTTCGGCTGTTCAAATAGATTCACGAGAACCCAAAATAGTTTTTGTACTCTGAAACACTCGGATTCCTTGTTTCCTTTAGGTCTCGCTATGGAATTCACAGGAAACTAACCTGGTTTAAAATTCAGAAATCCCTGCGCTTCTCCCGCCCGGCGTTTTGGTTGGTTCGGCAGACAGATGAGGTTGATTGAGGGCATTTTGCACTGATTAGTCCTCTAGCCGGAAATCGAATTATGCTGACATTTATACAGTATGACTGATTAGCATGGTGCCGATAACAAGGGAGGGTTAAGCCCTCTATATATGGAAAGGGGGCATGCATGTAACATGGAGTTTAAAAAGAGATTCTCAATGAATATATTTTAGCTGAAGAGTTCGAAAAGTTCAGATTAAGTTGATCTTAGTTCACACAATAATGTGGTAGCGTTGTCTTTACGATACATTTTACTCTATTCTACTAAACATTTATCTGTGAACTTTCTCGAAACCACGTAAAAACTGTGACTCTTTTCGTTTGAAATCCTTTAACAGATCACAGAATATCTAAAAATTTACCAGATTTAGCAATTATCTTACATAGACTAATATCTAGTTTATTCATTATCCATACCTTACTATCTTCTTTATCCATTTGTTACAGTTGGACCTTTAATAGTCGACGTGAAAGGCGTCTCCAAATTTCGTGACATAGCGAAGAAAAACCCCGAGGTGAGACCAGGTGGAAGATGGAATCCGCCATATTGCAAGTCCAGGCACAAGGTATGTCCGGTACCTAAGTCAACCAAGTCCCAAATTAATTATTTCCCCTCCAAAGAAACACATGTCATCATTATCATTTGTTTTACGCATGCATGTACTTGCATCAATAAAAGAGTATATACGGCTCCGGGTCTAATTTTCTAATTACGCGAATTGTGGTGACTATACAAACAGACATGCATAAGATAGTCTATTTCACTGCTCAGTGCTGTCATTGTACTGATTCAAAACGAATATTACGTATTCATCTTCACCAGCCTGTAATATTACAAATTTCTTCAAATTTCTAAATAAACTGTCGAGCTGTACGCGAATCTAGTGTGGTAAACTGCTCCAGACAATGGGTCCATGGTAGCTGATGGATCTTCTGAAGTTTAGAACGACCAGATTATTTCTTGTGCTCTGTCTGTTTCTTCTGATGAGATATTCAAATCTAAGAACGTATCTGATGGCCTTTCTTATTTTCAGGTGGCGGTTATTGTTCCCTATCGTGACCGCGAGCAGCACCTGCGGATCTTTTTAAAACACATGCACCCTGTACTGAAGCGGCAGCAGCTCGACTATGGGATCTACATCGTGGAACAGGTCAGATGAAAATACAAACTCTGGTGTAACTGTAAGAATCGACTTGGTTGGAACTGATACTTGACCACTGATACTTGGTTGGAACTATAACTTTTTAGATTTATTATTGTGAATTTCTCGCTGATTCTGTGCTATCACTTCCTCCCAGCCTGTTGGGAGACCATTTTAACCTCCAACTCGACCTTCCTGTCAATCTACTGTTACACTACCGACCGCCCACTTTCTGCTGTATTTCTGCAAATAATTATGCACAAAAATGCACTACGAACGCAAAACCTTCTTAAACGGAAAGTGTGGCCACTGTATTCAGTAGCCAGGGGTGGTTTCCGATAAGCGCAGTTGAGCAATAAAAGAGAAGAATGTTACTCCTACGTGAAAACTCCCTCCCCCGCCAGTAAGAAAACATCCCACGTCCTGTTGCTTTAAATTAGTCTACCATAATGGTGCAGGTCTTTACTACAGTTATGGAGACGCATTGCTCCTTCAGCAATTTCTGGCAAATACGTTCTGTGAAGGACTGATAGTTGCCTGTAACGCGTATTTAGCTTATTAGACAGTGGCTGCCATTCAAATGTCAAGCAGGCAATTTGAGTATCTAAGTATCTGTTGCCTGCAATAGCTCAAATGTTGTATGGAATGCAAAGCGCATTTTTGTTCAAACTAAGATATCGTTCAGACTGTTCCTATTCCACTGTTCCGTTTGAACTAGCGTCTTTGTGTTTTATTGCACGTTTAGTTTTATCCATAACTACAAGTACATATTAGCGCTATCATAAGTTCTGTGAACACTCCCACACACAGATAACTTTTAACAGCAGACAAATGAGGATATTTTCATTTTATGTCCAATACAGGGTTTATGTTTATTACCCAAACCTGTATTTATGTTTTCATGTTTTATGAGCAAAGGATCTTTATAAGCACATTACGTGCTTTCTGTCCAGTGCTCACAAATCTATGTGAATAAGATAAAATAAACGAAAACAATGAAGAAATGTACGAACAGTCAGAACAAAAGGTAGCATTTTGCTACCTATTTTTCTGACTGTTCGAACATTTGGTATTATATATATA